ACCAGCGTGATCACCAAAACAATGAAAAAATGAAGAAAAAATGTTTGACTTGAAGATTTGCTGGGATTTGAACTCACAACTTCATGGTCAGCAGACAGCATTCATAACCACAAGGCCAAAAAGGAAGGGATAAATCGTGGGTTTTGATAACAAATCGATACTGGCTTCCAGGGCAAATTATAAACCATGGGAAAAGGCAAGAAACCTGGCCGAAATTCTAACTCCTTAACGGTTGGTCCAATTGTTCTGAAACCTTCACAGAACAATTTGCCATGCCCTAACAAGCCATTAATTTTATGTACTTTGTTGTCCAAATTTCCTTTATCTTCATACTTTTTAAGACCCAAACTTGATTGCTAATCCTTTTGAAACAGACTGTAGGCTAGTGGCGTTGCACACTCTTGTTATGTACTCTTGGTAGTACACATTGTGATTGTTGACAAGCATGCAGCGGTGAATCAATATCAAACAAAGAAGTGGGTCACTACGAGTACTTACTGGGGATAATTGCGCGGCTTTGTCCCGGTCTCTCTGCATACTGGAGAACGAGCGCTCGGAACAGAATGTTGTCGAAGGCAAACCCATTGGCCGGCAAGACAGCAATGATTATGTACACAGGTTAGTGGTCGTCGAGCGGTGACTCGGCGGCAAAATCCGTCCACGTCCGCTACGGAATGCCGAATGGTTCGACCGAGTACCCACCGCAACAGTGCTCGTATTTCGGCAAAATGTCCTTTTCACCATTCACGACGAAATGTTTCGGCATCTGGCTCGCGGAAGAAAGACATACTAGTAGTAGTAGTAGTAGTGCGAAGCTCACAAGCACTCAGTCTCACAGCCCCGTTCAGCGGTTCACTGCACTTACATCAGGTGCTCGCTGAATGCAGTGAAAACAGGGAAGAATAAACTGTTGCTCGAGCATCATCGCTAACGGCTATTCTAGCTTCCTTATTTTCTGACAAGAATAAACTTCAATGTGAGAAAAGCAAGAACTGTTTCCCATCGTTTGTGCCTGTCACCAGGTCACGGGTATCACTAGTTCTTCAACAATTGACACTACTGCACTGGAGATCTAACTAGTATCATTAAAGTCATGATAGCAGGAGTGCATGTACTGAAACAGATCTACAATCCTACATGATAATATTTTCATCCTGCATTCTCAAAAAACATTCAGTCATGTCACATGATGTGTATTTTGTAACAAAATGTACATGACTAAATGTTAGAATGCAGGATGAAAATATTGCACATCACTCATCACTACTACACTGTCTCTGCAGTCTACAATGTAGTAGCGCCATCCGTCAGCTCGTGCTAAACCTTGACGCTGCCCTGAACTGAAGCCAGTGAAGGTGCAGGGGATAACCTTGTCATACTCTATAGGAATGGGTGGGTGGGAACTCACGCTGGGAAACCCTTCCGTGCCAAATAGCACAATCTAAAGGTATAATATTATTATTATTAATTATAGTTGTTGCAAATTCAGCACGGGGGGGGGGGGGGGGGGATTATCCTTCCTCACACGTAACGTTATGTGCATAGCGTAATACACATGATATACAACGTCACACACACACACGTATGCTCACACACACACACACACGTACGCACACACACACACACACACACGTACGCACACGCACACACACGCACACGTGTGCTTGCAGCTTGCACACATCATGTCCAGTGACAACTGTCAATCTCAAAAATCATTAAAAGCACAAGCTGAAACACATACTCACAGCAGTCACAGGTCACCAAGGGCCTTAGATTTACAACAACAACAACAACAACAAAACTGATACAAATGTACGTAAGAAGAACAGGTAAAAGCGCGACACAACAAGCACTTGAAATAGCACATCCTATAGGTCCTCTCACTCACAACTAGCCAACAACAGCACTGAAATTCATGAAAACCTACTTTACACGGTAACCACGGCAGTAAAACAAAATAAGAAAAAAGTTTTTGATCTACATGGAGCGTTGGGGCTGCTCGCGACAACGTCACAAGTGAACTCAGAGGCATTGTCACTCTTCTGCTGCTCACACTTTACATGGCTCCGTATGCGATCGGGACACAAGAAAACAAATAATTATCACCAAAGAAAAGGTACAACGAGGAGAGAGCAGGAACAAGAAAACACTGCAGCAAATATTCTGTAAAAAAACGAAAGAGAGGAAGGGAAAGGAATTTAAAAAACCAGATAAAAAGCTAAAGCGGGCAAGGGCAGTGCAGGGTAGAATACTTTTGCCAGGTGTGCGGCTACGCGAGTGTGCATAGCTGTGAGAACATGCAGTCTGATACAGCACAGGTTGGCAAAGGGCGCATGCATCGACCTGCTTGAACCACTGTAGTAGCACAATGAAAAACCTTTCAAAAGTTTAAGAACACTTACACAAGCACACGCGTGCGCGCGCACAAACACACACACACACACACACACGCTGGTAGAAGCAAAGAGACTCAAAAAGCACCGGGGGCCGATGCTAGACATACTCACGGCGATAAAATAAATTAAAAACAGCTGGCAAGCGCAAAAAAAAACAAAAAAAAACAAGAACTGCAGAAGTAAAGAAGTACAGAAAAGAGTCCTAGTGTCAAAATGAGACGACAGGATGAAGGAAAGCTGAAGCATTGCAACTCTCGGCGCTCATCTCAACCAACAAGCATACGGCAGGGCGTGATGAGAAATGCGAAGCGCAGACCGCTCCGCAACAGCAGTGCATGGCGGGGAGGGAGGGGGGGGGGGGTGCCGTGCCATGGTACATAGATAAGCATCACAGGACAGGACGCACAGCTTGGAGAGTGGTGGGGGAGGAGTATTGTGATATCACGGTTGATTATGGCCCAACGTTTGTGTATAACCGATCACCGGCCGGCACGTAGATGCTGCAAATTCTCTACTCTCAAAAATGGCGCACGCACGCACGCACACACACACACACACACACACACACACACACACACACACACACACACACACACACACACACACACACATGGATCCCTGCCACTGGCCATCCTTCACGACGAAGACGTAGGCATGAGTTGCACGGCACTCAGCAACCCTGCACAGAGCCCATCTTTCTCACTGACCAGCGGGCAAGCAGGCAAGCAGAGGAACTGACTCTAACCTCTCACATCACCCTCAGCATCAGGTCTACACCGATTGCAAACTGCTCAGAGCAACTCACAGTACTAGCTCAGAAACCGCCGGTCAAGTAGTAAAAATCATTACTCGGAGCGATGTTAAGAATTCACTCAGTCGTCGCCGAGATCATCGGATTCCCCGACCTGTTCTGACTTGCGCTTCCTGGCTGAGTAGCTGCGGGGCATGCCGGTACGGACACCCCTCTGTAACTGTGTCAGCTCAGACTGCACAGAGTTGAACGTCTCGGTGGCCTCGTCGAGCTCCCGCTGCAGCTTCCGACGCGACGCCTCTTCCTCCTGTGAGCACGCACACATGCATACACATACACACACACACACATGCACACGCACACGCACACACACACACACACACACACACACACACACACACACACACACACACACACACACACACACATGTCCATTGCAAACGCCAAGAACAATGCGACACAAAGTAGGTAAGTACACCAGCAAAGACGATACTAGACAAGGTGTCTACCTCAACCGACAAAGCGCTAATACTGCAACACCAGAAAATTTTCAAATAATCTACATGGAGATAAAAGTTCAATAATAGCTACGAAAAGTATGAATGCAGCAGACATCACCACGCAACATGACAATTTTGTTCTAGGTTTGAAATTGTGTTTATCCAGAATCGATTTTCAAGCTACGATCATCTGTGGAAATATGGAACTAAAGACATTTTCAGTGGAGTTTTCATTTTTTGGTAACACAGGTGCAGCAAAACTATACCTAAAAAATAATGCCACCAGGTAGTGCTATCAGTACAATACAGCCCGACCTCACTTAACCGCTCACATCTGTTTTCCACAAAAAATATCCGGATAGGTGAGGGAACCGGATAACTGAACACCGGTTATGTTGGATGCATCACGTAGGCTGTAAATCTGCAGCCAGCTATTTTCTTCCGGATGGTGAGGGATGCGGATAAAAGAGGACCGGATAAGAGAGGTCTGACCGTACCCACCAGCACTTGCATGGGAGCAAGCCAAACTAACCGATACTGAAGAATAAACGCTACTGAAAACCCGATTCTGGGGTAAGCCGAAAATGTTACACCACCGAATCGTTTTGGTTTTACAGCACGCAGCAAACCTTGACACGCAAGCAAATCACAGGCCTGGCAATTCAAACTACGCACAACATCGAAAGAGGAACAACAAACATGTTTGGCCAAATCCACGGCACGCCAGTCAGTTGATATCATTTCAGCACTGAGACATACACATCTGTCCTACTCTCTGTACCATTGTCTTTCATTATTCTTTTGAAGCTGGGTAGGTGAACATAGTAAAAAAAAAATAAAATAAATAAAACCACACACACGCACGCACGCACGCACGCACGCACACACAAACACACACACACACACACTTACCGCTTCATCCAACTGACGCTTGAGTGCCTTCATTCGAAGTGACAACTTGTCATTCTGCGAGAACAGCAACAGCAGAGTGATACATGTAGAAATAAATTTGAGAGGCCGACAAAGGCTCCACTTATCTCTACAGGTCTACACCTAAACCATGTCACAAGCTGGTTGAATAGTGGAATCTGCTCATTGTGCACCAGTCAAGAAAATCACAAGTCTAAACCCAAGTCAAAGAGAAAACGTGCGGATTCACCAGTGAAAACAACCATACCGGTATGCAAATTTTCGGCTCAGCCACCCCTCCCCCACGAGTAAATTGTACTTCAGATGGCTGACCGTACCACACTAAAATACCTTCCGCCGCCCCTGGCCTAATAAACACCCCACAGTAGGGATGTCACAAAGAAAGAAAGCGTATTCTTAGTACTTGCACAGTACTCTACTCACGTGCTCATGAAGCTGATCGCCACGCCGACGCTCCTCCTCCACCTGACCAATCAGGTCCTTGTTCTTGCGATCCAAGCGACGGTTTGTCTTCTGCAGGCTATGCCTTTTGCTGTGCAGGACCATAGGGAAAAAAGGGCGGGTTGACAACGTTGGACACGCGAACAGTGACTATGTAATGTAACATTTTGTAGCAAGAATGAACCACACATGTGTGTGTGTGTGGGGGGGGGGGGGGGGGGCGGGGGGCAACTTGACTCGGACAACCGGACTTCATTGAGCTCAGCACTGTAGAACTGCAGTATCCCGTGGAAGAGACTCAGACAAAGGAGAAACCGGTGCTCATACCGTCATGTCGAGTATCAAGGCCGGGCTTATCGATGTCAGGGCTAGGCTTCTATTCACATCAGGCTTCTATTCAAACCAGGTGTTTCTAACTTTCTATGTGTGTCAACACTAAAACCAGGCTTATGTGCCGACAGTGCATCTTGATAACCAGGCTTGTATTCAAAACAGGCTTCTATACGAGACAGGCTTTAGTACAAGACAATACAGTAGTCTGAATGGTGGACAGCGCTGGCTTGCCTACAGATGGCATGCGTACAGGCGCATGCGTACAGGTACACGTGAGAAATTCGGCATTGGTGACACTTACCGCGATTCTACTTCTATCTGCTCCTCCAGTGTGGAGATCTTCATCTCTAGTGAGCGCACTTGACCCTTCAGACGTGAGCCACGCTCATTCTACGCAGATTCCAATTTCGACTTGAGATCCTTGGTCTGAAAGAAGCAGAGAAAGACAAGCCACCACAAACAGGCAGAACTGATTCTTGGACCTGCTTCTCAACATGGCAACACTTAACAGACCAAGAATGGCCGTGAGCGTCCAAACGCACACAGCCGCTCAGGGACGTAGCTGATCTCCCTTTTAGGGGGGTGCACGGATGTGTAGGATGGCTTGTGCATGACATTCATGGTCAACATGCGCGTGCTGCACCTGGGTTGGGAATTTCAGGGGGTGCATGTGTCTCCCCCCGTGCCCCATGCGAGCTACGCGCTGCAACCATACTTATTATTTAGATCTACATGTACATGTACAAAATATCCCCATTAAGACCAGTACTCTGTACATGCTGGTGTGGCTGCTGTCCTATCCTCTATCATATTATCCTTTCACCCATTCACGGCATAGTCCTTCCCCTGTCTGTCGCCATATAAAGACGGTACGTGACCTCGCACAACCACTGTGCTACGCACGATACCATGCTCTGCTGGGCATGGCCTCCCTGACTCTTCACTATATCTACACTCATCTGCCTGTAAAATAAACCACTTCCGTATGTCAGTACATGACACAACAGCTGCTGAGCACACGTATTGCCTGCACGATAGCAACGCTTAGTACCTGTCTGTCCAGAGTTGCGTTACTGTGCATCTCCATTCAAGCTGTGTGTAACACACGCACACACACGCGCACACACACACACACACATGCACACACACACACACACACGCACACACACGCACACACACAGGAATCTCTATCTGTGGCATAGCTGGGGTGACCGTGGAGTACCAAAGCATCCCCGCCCATAACAAATTCCAATCACGGTATGCAGAGCACTTACTGCATGCGCAACATCTGCAGCATGCACCAGGTATAGTATAACATGTTGTTTTCGGTGTAACTTTAATTTCCGTAGAGAAACCAGGCACTTAAATTTAGATAGCAGCTAAAAAGCACTGGAGTAGGAACTGTATGTGCAGGGAATGCTGGTCACCTAATTCTGCATTGGACCTGAAACCTGTTAGATCCGCGACACCGAAATTTGATCCTGTACAGACGAGTGCCATGCGGTGCCACCCCGTGCAAACATCGCAAGTCACACACCCGCGCGAGGCACATCGTACCATAAAAATGATGTAAACGGCTATCATTATACACAGTTTCTCTACTTACCAGAGACTGTGACTTCCTGGACTTCTCCATGTACATTTCTGTGTTGGCTTGTTCTTCCTCCAAATCTTCCTCCAGTTGCACAATAGCCTGCTCTAGCTTTCTCTTCTCCTCGCTCAGCGACTGCAGGCGTGGACTGTTACCGCGTGCCTCGTCGTACAGCTCATCACGCTCTGCCTCGGCGTTACGTCGGGCTCTATCGGCCGACATCAGTTCCTGTCAGTGGCAGAGGCAGCGAGAGAGAGAGAGAGAGAGAGAGAGAGAGAGAGAGAGAGAGAGAGAGAGAGAGAGAGAGAGAGAGAGAGAGAGAGAGAGAGAGAGAGAGAGAGAGAGAGAGAGAGAGAGAGAGAGAGAGAGAGAGAGAGAGAGAGAGAGAGAGAGAGAGAGAGAGAGAGAGAGAGAGAGAGAGAGAGAGAGAAAGGAGAGATAAAAGCAAATATCAATGTCAAGTCACAACGAGAAAGTATCTGCAAAGTAGGCTGTCTACACAATGTTCCCAGCACGGGATGAAGTGGAAACCAGAATACAAGAAAACAGACGGTGGACCTATCACTGGCTACTGACCTCAGTAAGGCGTGTGACATCCGACTCTAGAACCTTGAGTTTCTTCTCAGCTTCACGGGACAGCTGCAGTGCTGCATCGCGGCCGGTACGGGACTCCTCCAGCTCGTGATAGACCTCCTTCATTTGAGCCTGTGTACACACACACACACACACACACACACACACACACACACACATGCGCGTGCACACACACACACACACAC